TATGATCCGAGGGACATTGCAACTGCACTCTACCTTTTCAAGATCGACTCGGTAGTTTTGTCCACCATAACGTTCGCCGCCCAAGCTTGTGCCACCCTTGCCCCGTACACTAAAGATATGGCGGCGAGGTCCATACGGCTCGGCGGTGTGCTGCTTGGCTAATTCCTTGGCCTCCTTCAAATGTTCTACTCTGGCCTTTCCAAAATGCCCCTGCTCAGCTATATTCCTCTGCGCAAGTTCCCACCTCTTGACAAAATATTCGTTGCACTTATGAAAGGAGAACTCAACAATTCCAGACACAGGCAACGATCGAACTCCGGTGAATACACGGTTGAAAGACTACGAGGAGTTAGTGGTCATGATGCCATACCTGAAACCCCTCTCGTCATATGCTAACGCCCACTGAGCCTTCTGTTCCATCTACGCCACTAACCAGGCCTTTCCCGCTTCATTTAGCATCTTGTCAAGTTCTCTCTTTGTCTCTTTGAACTGGTGCTCTGTACGTACACAACATAGAGCCTTTACCTTGTCACATACCTCCTTCTTCCTCTGACGCCACCAGAAATTAGTGGCAAAGTCTCTCATGCACCATCTATGCATTAGAGGCAGGAACCCATCTATATGCTCAACTGTAGCATTAAGAAGCCCTGGGTGACGGTCCGAGATCAAACATATAGTGCGAGATGGGCCCAGCACTTGTACACATAGAAGCCGCATGAACCATGACCACGATTCATTGTTCTCTCCCTCTGTCAAAGCAAAAGCCATAGGTACTATCTGGTCCTCAGGATCAACAGCAACAACCATCATCAAGATGCCCCTGTACTTTCCTGTCAGGAAAGTGCCATCAACAAGTACGTCTAGCCGATAAAACTGGAATGCATGTTCCATTTACGCGAACGACCAGAACACACGATACAGGACATGCCTCAACGGGTCCCGAAAATACATCCCTCTGATGTCCATAAACCATTTCAAGTCAGGGTTGTAGTAATGCATTGCACATAAGATGCGGGGCACCCTATTGTACACTTCCTCCCAACTACCCCAACGAATCGCCAGGGCAATTTACTTAGCACGCCAAGCCTTTCCGTACTTCACATCATACTTAACGAATCCAGATATGGACTGTTGTAAAGAAGACACCGAAATGTCATTATTGTCATCAACGAGCCCCAATATACGACGGGCAAGGTAACGTGTAGTGAGCTGCTGATGATTTTCCTTCCCCCTATTTGTTAGGCAAGTGTGGGGTTCGACAACTTTACTTATCCTCCACTTGTCATCACTCTGTCTCTTTCGTGCTTTTAACCTCCATATACAACCATTTTTGCATATCATGTGGCACCTCAACTCCTGGTCCGAATGAGTGACGTTGTACGGCCTATGGTGATACACAACATAGTCCTGAAGGAAGAGCTTCATCTCTGACATTGTATTGAATATATCTCCTTCCTAAGGATTTCTTTCTCATGGTCATACAATGATTTCCTACACATCTGGAGACCGGTGTCACAAACTGTCATATCCATCATGCTGACATCCCTATAGTTTAAAATGCCCCTGAAAGGTATGTTCATCGACCTTAGTTGCTCAAGCTCAGTCGCTGTATAAGGTGGTGGTGGAACATACTGCTGCGTTTCGCTAATTCTGCCCCATGAATCATAGGGGTATCATCTACTGGTAAATCTGTGACAAGTCTACCCTAAGCCTGGATAGCATGCAAAACCTCAGTTGGTACTGGTAATGGCATACCATGAATAGGTACTGGCATGGCATCAACCGGTGTGGGCATAGCATGTCTATCTCCCTGGTCATCATCTGAATTGTCTGAATCACTGCTAACTACATCACCGATCCTGTCCTCCTCTTCCAGTTCGAACTCGTTCACATCGAAGTCATTGCTTATACAACCTACCTGACTTGAATGAAACTGCTCCTGTGTCAACTGACCGTTCAAATCCATGTTACCCTGAGTTGCTTCCCCTTTGACCCCCAATTCTTGCTCATTGCCTCCAACACCGTCAATGGACGGCCTGTCTAGGACACCCTGCATCTTGTACCCATTCTCCACCACCTCCTCAGCCATGGGCATATTGGAACCTTGGAGCACCCTAGTGTAGTAGGACCAGTGAGCAGGGTCGCGCAAAAGCATCAGGACATAGTGTGCCCTAGTCTTCCCAGTATCAAACCTCCCATTCAGTGTGAAATCAACGCCAAACTTTGCATTCAAACGGACACAAAGGTCGTTGAAATTAGGAGGTTCATCAAACCATTCCAATTCTTCTTCCATATCTTTAAACATACCATCTTCTCTCCTAACACTTCCTCCGTAAAAAACTCTAACACAACAATCTATCTACAAAAGTATTTCAAGAAACTTTATCAAGTCGTCGAAATCATCGTACGTACTGTCTATAGTAATATTAATACATATTGTAACTATAACTATACTAACTAATCTAATATTAACATTTATACAAGAGTAACTACAACAACTAATTATACTAAATACAATGTATAACTAGACTCACTAACTGTACTAACTAAACTAACTAACTTTGCTAACTATACTAACTTACTATATTGCCTATACTAACTAAACTAACTTTACTAACTATACTAACTTTATTTATTGTACTAACTTACTATACTAACAATATCGATTCAATCAACAAATACACTAGAGGAGTACTCATGCAGTAGGGCGCCGTCAAATCCTGCATGGTGTGGCATTCTCGTCCTCGGCAAGAAGGCGGCGCTTTCGACCTCATGGTGGCGGCGGGTGGACACGGGATAGAGAGAGGGGCGTGCGACAATTGGGAGCGGTGCACAACACGGTAGTAGGGCGAGCGGCAACAGCGATCGCGGGCGGCGGTGAGGATGGTGGCGGGCGCGGCGCGGCGGCCAAGGCACCACCGTGGCGGGCCGGCGCGCGCGGCGGCGGCGGCGTGGCGTGGCTCACCGGCGCGCGTGTGGGGCGCGCGCGGGGCGGCGGCGGCGGCGTGGCGCGTGGGCGTTAAATGGCGTTGGCGCAAGGGCGGGCGGCGGGTAAGGCGTGCGGGCGCGCGAGGGCGGGCGGGCGGGCGGCGGCGCAGCGGAAAGCGCCGCGTCTTTGGCGGCAAAGGCGCGGCGTGTGCGCGGGCATGGCGGATTGGGCCGCAGGTCTATATTAAGCTCTGCTGCGCCTGGCGAGTGGCGCGTCACTGCCGTGCCATGATGCGTGGCGCGTCACCGCCGCGCCCTGATCGGTGGCGCGGCAGAGCTGGCCACGTCATCGGTCAGGTCCCTGGTCGCTGCCACGTACGCAGCCTCGCCGCGCCCCCATACATAGCGCGGCAGCGTTAATTCGCCGTGCCGTGCGAATAGACGCGGCAAAAAATGTTAGATTTAAAAAAAAATAAACAGTATTAATTTTAAAATTAATTTAAAAATGTGTTAAAAAAATTCGCCAATGGTGCGGCCGCCGTGCAGGTGGGTGGCGACACCAGCACACATCATTTCGCCTGCCTGTGTTTACGGGTGCTCTGTTGATCAGCAGGGGAAGCGGGGGAGTTTTTACAAGGGAGCAGGCAGGGAGGTGATGGCCAACTCACCTCAGCTGCGGCCAAAGCCGAGCCACTTCTTTCTCTCTCGTGGGCAGCCGCAGTAGCACATTTGGCTTCTTCGCTTGTTTTCTAATCCGTACTTTTAGTTTATTTCTTTTAGCCAGAATAATATTTTTTCTATCACATCTCAGTAGTCAATACAGTGTTTTGACTTTTTTTTTTCTCTCACGTCTGATGCTTTGATTCCCCACCCGAAATCGACCGTTCCAACTCATTCCAGGGGATTAACAAATGGGATCAAGGCGCTGGTGGCTGATGTAATCTGATTGCCGCCCCAATTAACAAGTGATTTGGGCCCAGATCAGCGTGGAGCGCTAGTACAGCCCTGCAGTTTTCTCGCTCTGTTTACATGTGCGTCTCTCTGTGACTGCGTGCTTGCTGTCTTGCTGCTGAGCAGAGAGCAGCGGAGAGCTCCAAGCTGAGGTGGAGATCGAAGAAGAGGTGAGCACCAGGTACAATAATGGAGGTCGTCAGATGGCCACGCCGGAAACGGCAGTCCCAAAAGGGTGAGGACAAAGGAAAAAAGGGGGGGTGCCATCACCGTCACCATCCCGGAGATCGACCTCTGGCTGCCTGCCTGCTCCTCCCTCAGTCCCTCTTCCTCATCCATATGCCTTGCATCAGAGGCAGGCATTTGCTCTGCTCACAGTCACAGCTCTCCTCTCATCTCCAGTCGTCTTCGCCACAAATCGCCCGTCTCCCTGACCCTGATCCCGAAACTCCGCTTTCTGGCTGTTTCATTTGCATCTCTGTTTCGTGGTTTGTCAATCAGCACCCAGCAATGTCCCTTTTGTCAATCAGCAGCATCCTTGTTGGATGCCACCCAGAGAGAGAAATGGCAAGGAGAAACAAAGCACAGAGAAAGATTAAAAAAAGGTAAATAAATACGCGGTGACATCTTAACATGCTGTTGCGGTCTGATTTCTTTAGCTATACATGGGCAGTGACAACTTTTTTCACCGTGGTCGTGGTCGTGGTCGTGGTCGTGGTACAACAGAAGATCCACTAGATTTCATTCAGCTGCCTGCCTGCCTGCGGTGCTCCTTTGCAGCACTGCAGCTGTAAAGAACCCAGATCCCCATTCCCCTTGAAGGAGATCCCAAAACTGTCCACGATTCCACATCTACCTCGCCAGAGCGTGCTAATTACTAGTACTACTTACCTAAACGAACACCGGTAACCAAGAAAACTTCCCAGAAATGGAAGGTAAAAAAAGAGAGGACTCCTAATCAAGACCGATCTATACACACATCACCTAATCTGCCTTCTTCCCCCGTGTCCCTCGGCTTGCTTCAGCAATCAGCACCATGACTGGCTCTCTGATCCTGGCGGACGGAGAAACTGCGAGGGGTGGAGCTTCTTCGCCGGCGGCCGGCCCTGGAACTACCGCGGCTACGAGCAGTCCTTCCAGCAGACGAGCATGGTCACGCAGCGGCGCATGATGTAGAAGCGCGCCCGCTGCTCCTTCGCCAGGCCCGCGCACCGGCTCGAGAACGACGGCTGCGGCGCGCACCCGCCCGCCGCCGCCGCCGCGGCGCCGGCGGCACCGCTCCCGCGCCGGCCGATCGCCGGGACGTCCCTCATGCTGGACGATCTCTTCAGCAGAGAGTTCCCGCCGCCGGCTCCTCCGGCTCCCGGGACGCGCCGGCTGCCGTTGTTCCGGCTCTTCTTGGAGAACTTCCACTTCTCGTCCACGTAGAACTCCATGGATCGATGCGCTTCGCCGGGCCTTCGCTGAGGCCTGAGGCTGCTGAGGTGGGTAGTGAGGAGGGAAGAGTGCGCTGGAGAGAGAGAGAGAGAGGTGTGGGGGCGTGAGGAATCCGAGCGCTATTTATAACGGGGGTGAGGGGTGAGACTGTGACGGACCTGGGAGAAGGAGGAGGGCGTGGGGTGGGGTGGGGCGATGGACCGAGACCTGGACCGTTTTCTTCAGCGCGGCAAGCCTCCATCCATCGGGTGGGCTGAGTTGGACCGCCTTCCTACGCTGCTCAGCGCTCGCTGGAATCTGTATCCCGTTATGCATTTGCTAGCTTTATTTTGCGTGGTCCAGAAATAATTTCCAGCCAGTTTGCAACATGATCGCTTCCAAGGTTCTCTGGTCAGAATTTTCAATCATTTGTGAATCCTGTCGTTGGTTGCTTCTTCTTTTGTACGCTAGACTTTGTTGTAGCCAAGTGTTATTATTCCTGATCTTAAGATTCAAAGTATTTGACACTTTTCTCACTACCTGTTCGCTTCAACTTATCAGCATGACTTATCAGTCATGATATAATGTTTTTCTCTTACAACAAATCAGCTTCAACCAGCTTATCAGTCGCAGAAACCATAAGCCGAACAGCTCCTTTCTTTGGTAATAGGAAGGCGTACATTTCATCTCAGAGGTCATGCACTTTTCTGTTGATATAAGGAGGAAAATCATCGAAAAGAGACATTGCTTTATTATTATTTGTTTTTTTGGTTGGGGGTGGGGGGCGTTCTCCACCTGAGTAAAATTTTGTTCTTATAGTATATAGCAATTCAGGAAGAGTGGAAATGATTTTTGCCGCTGTATGGTAGTCTTGTGTGTTATATGGATGACAAAGATGACACCTTGCTTAAGTGATCCAGTATGGATGCAAGATAGGTTGCCCGTGAATATGCAAATAGGCTAAAATTTTGCGGGTTACCAATTTTTGTGGGTTTACGGGTAACCCACAAAAACTTAACCTATTTGTGGGTAACCTGCCTTGCATCCATCCGATCCGGCATTTATTTCTCAGCAGCCCGAAATTCAATCACATCTTCTCGCTTCCTTGCGGGTGGTATTTGAAAGCTCCAACCCATGTTTCTGAGCTCGGCTCTATGTTTTTTAGCCAAACAAATTAAGCTCCATGCAATTCTGCTCTAAAAAAAATATGTATTATGAGAGCACCTAAAGGGACGCTTTATAAACTCTAGGTTTTTTTTAGAACTTTTCGTGGAGCATAATTAGTGATCCAGTCCTAGACATCCTTTAGTCGTCGCAGGAGGGAGGGTGTCATGCCACGGAAGACGATGTAGTGGCGGTGCTTCTAGATGTGGTAGCAGCAAAGAAGCAATCAAGTGTTTCCCCTGAAACGTAAGTTCTCCGATGATGGGAAACTTGCATAACAGGACTTGATGTCGTTACCATGTTTCAATATCTGAGGTTTCTGACGGAGTCGGTGTCTCATGATCTTTTTTTTTCTTTGGTGGCTCACTAAAGATTCTATAAAATTAAAGTTTACTTTGCAATATTTTATAAACTCTTGCTCTTTGTTGTGATCAAATTAGTTTCAGTGGCCCCTGCTGGAATTTGGCCAAGCTCCGCCACTGGTGGTGAGGCCGAGGCCGAGGCCGCTGTGGCGTTGTCTTCTTGGCACGGTGGCCAGAGTTGTTTAGTGGTTAGAAGTTATTACTACCTTTGAAAGAACTGGCTCAAGCTCTGCTTCTGAGTCCTGTGTGTTAGGTTGATCTCCTCTGATTCGGTCCAACGACCGAGTCGGGCTTTGATCCCGCGCCCTAATCGGGGGCGCCCAACCAATTCATGGTATAAAAAGGGGGTGGGGTGCCGGGGCTCGAGGTACGAGGTTACCGCCGCCACAAACCCCACCTACAAACCCTAATCCGATCTAGAGGGAGGCGCTGACAGCGACGGGAAGCTCCAGCGCCGCCTCTGCACCACGCCCGACGTCCACACCACCGCCGAACACTACTGCCACCCTTCATCGACACCTCGCGCCACCATCACCATCGCCATGGCTTCCTCCTCCGCCAAGCCCACTGATGGTCGGTAACACCTCCCCTCTCTCTCATCCTTTCTTCTCTCTCTTTCTCCAGTACATGTTTTAGGTTGCTTTATCCCAAATGCAAGTGAAATCACTCGCTAGATCTACTCCTAGTGATTCTAAGAATATAACAATGGTATCAGAGACTACCTAGTGTGTAGATCTAGTCTGGGGTAGTCGAAGTTTCAGCATTTAGAAGGAGATGAACGAATCGAATTCGGGTTTAAACCCTAAATCTAACCCTAACCCTAACCGAGCAAAGAAAGAAGGATGGAGGGGACAGGGGCCTACCTAGAGCTCACCTGTTGTAACACTCCTGGTGTTACGAGCTTGCTTAGCACCGAAATTGAGGCCCAAGAGAGATTAGCCAATCAAGTTTTCGGATTTTAAAAATTTAAAACGCACATAAAATGATAAACGAATCCTATGTGACTCACTTTTGTGGACTCAACTAAATATCCCAAGTTAACTTACTTAGTGCATAAAACTGCTAATGAGAATCCTAACAAGAAAAATGGGATAGGTTGTTTTAATTGTTTGGCACGAAAAACAATTTTTATAAACAAAAATAAAATACGACTTGTATATAGTACTTAAATAAAATTCGAAGTGTAAATTTAGTAGATCAAAATGAAACTTGGATTTTTGAGAATAAATATTGGTAACACCTCCCCTCTCTCTCATCCTTTCTTCTTCTCTCTCTTTCTCCGGTACATGTTCTAGGTTGTTTTTATCCCAAATGCAAGTGAAATCAGCCGCTAGATCTACTCCTACTGATCCTAAGAATATAACCCGGTGAAGCTAGTTTTTTCTTGAGTCAACGTCATGGCCGGTGATTACTACACGAGTTGTTTTGTTGAAGATGTTTTTTCTCTTTCTTCTTCTTAGGGCACATCAAAGCTGTCTGATATCTTGGCTATATGATAGTATTTTGGTTATATGTCTTTCTTTGTCTGTCTGTTTGTTATGATTGTGATTATTACTAGATACATCCTCGTCTGAGGATGTTTCATATATTTCGAACGGAATGAGTATTATTCTAACCGTCCACAAATAAAGTTGATGCGATCTCGCAAGATTACAAAACATTACAAAGCACAGTGCTAGGTGCAAGCATCAAGTGCCAAAAGGTATGCAAATCTCACACAGGTGTTGTTTGGCTATATAAATGTAACGTGAATGTAAAGGGAATGTGTCCGCCGCGGGAATGAAAAGGAAATCGATGATTTCTTATCTTGTTTGGTTGATAACTGCACGGCCAGGAGTGCCACCTGTGGCCCGTCAAAATCGGGCGTAATCCGTCGTCTGAAGGATAGGATCGGTTACCCTGCTATTGGGTCCCCTTGACGGTGAAGCAAACAAAATTATCAGGCCTGTTTGGTTGGTATTAAAGCTGGCTGAAGCTATTTTGTTGTGAGAGAAAAATACTGTAGATTCTAGCTGATAAGCCGGCTGATAAGTTCAAGCGAACAAGCCCGATGATCAGTTTCGCTGTGATCGGTTCCGGTTATTAAATGCGCGAACCAAACAACTCCTAAACACTAAGCCTAGCTTGGATCAAAGCACTATTATGATGGTCTAACTAGCCTAACCATTTCGTAAATCACTGCACTAATCATCTAATCTCTTCTTAAGCACTTTTGATAGCTAGAGCACTAGCAACAATCCTCAACTCCAACAACACCCCGATAAAAAAACAAAAAACAAAAAAAAAACTCCAACAACATCTAAATGGCTGGCCATGTGTACCAGTTACTACCGTGTACAAAGCGAGTAATCATTCCCAAATGGTCACAATTCAAGATTTCGCGGGCCGACTGCATGTGAGTTTCATCAATGCATTCTTTCGAGAAACCATGCAACGAAAATCGTCCTGCAAATGCATTCCGACCTAATAATCGCTGTGATTTCCACGGAAGAAAGCAAAGATTTTAAAAGGGCAAAGTACCATTTGGATCCATTCTCTTGTTTCTAGAACGGTGCAAGCATTAGGGCTGCCTTCTCATGGTTGATGGTTGATCCCATGGAGTACAGGAGTAGTAGTAGATAGGCATTCTGTGTTCTCAACTGATGGCTTTGCCGTCCAATCTGGGCTGAGTCGGATGGGCCTGGAGGCGGGCCCTTCAGTGTTCCCTCGTGTCCACAGAGGCTAGCAGGTGATTAAATGCGCGTGTCTCTTGGCGCAGCCCCACAACTACCGCCGTTTCTCATCTCATTCCAGTCTAATCAACGTCTAAAACGGAAAGTCCTCGGATTAGGATTGGGTTTTAAGGAAAAGTAGTCTATGACTCCGTATTTCCTTGTTATCATTACTTCATTGCCTATCCAAATACTCCAGGTCTAGTACTGTATGACCTTTATAGCCCAACGGACGGAGCGATTTTTGTTGTTGTTGTTTCAGTCCATGGTCGGATTTATTTGGGGCTTTGGGTTAACATTCGACCGCGAGATTGACGTTTGATTTTTCTTTTTGCGAATAAGATTAACACTTGATTTGACGACTTGGAATCTCATGCGCGCTGTTAACCGCGTCGTGGTCCTGGGCTGCTGGGCATTGGGCAACCTACTAGCTCCGATCCGTTCGAATCAGTGGGCGCCTTGACTCGCGTAGACGGACGGACCTGCGCGGCGGCAGATCGCTGCTCTGGACGCCCCAGTCAGCGCAGCCGTGTCCGCTCGTGCGTGCAGCGTGCGTGGCTCTGGCTCGGCGCATCCGGTGCGCGGCGCCCGCGCGACGCGCCTCGGCTAGTCGGCTGGGTTCTTTTCCCACTCCGCAGAGCGGCACGCGGCCGGCCGCCCGGTCGGTCGCCGAATCCCACGCGGCCGCGGGATTGGTCGGCCTCCCGCGCTGCCGCGGCAAGGCAGGCGCCAGAGCCAAGACCGAAGAGTCGATGCTGGAACAAACAGCGGCGTGCGTGAGGC